GAAACGAAAATGAAAAGTCCAAAAACTCATCCAAATTTTCTTCGAATGGTTATGCTAATGTAACTGAATGGAAAGAAAAAACAATTAAATTTTTTTCTAAGGAGGAGGCTTTATCTAAATAGTCACCAGAATCCAGTCCGTCATCGCTCCTCCCCCTCTTTCTCCTCCACCTCTTACCACCTCTTAGAGGCAAAAAATAAGAAAAAAAAACGAGGAAGCAAAAAAAAGTCACTGGAACAGAAACTACATATCGATCATTGGAAAACTCATCACTTTTAACCATACAGAACTAAGCACCGTTGCAGGCAACCAATATTTCAACAGTTTCTCAACCAGCTGGTTACCTGATACAAGGCTTCCAGTATATTTTTTCTTTTTCTCCGCTTCTGTATACTCTAGCAAAGAGTAAAATGCGAATAATTTAGAGCTGATCAGTAAAATATTCCTCCCCTCCATTATTAACCACCGCTTCCTCCTTACATTCACACGATATTTACAGGTTAATGTCTTCCGCCTTCGCATCTCTCCAGCTAACATTATAAGTAAAATTAACAGAATTAAAAAAATAATCAAAGTAATCCCTACAGCGATAATTGCGGTTGTACATACTAATATCCGTTTTGAAGTTATTGAACCATTTCAGGGCAAAAGACTTGAAAAGAAAAAATTTGTGGCAATTTTAGAATCACTGATAATCAGTCAGATAGTGCTGAGAGCGTGCTAAACGCTAGTACCAAAGAAGTTAAGTCAAAAAATTTATGTAATTTTTGATGCTTCGAAATCCTGTATTTATTGGTGACATTTACTAAAACCTCTGGATTATCGGAATACACCGCAGCAGTGCTTTCCCTGCTGACTTAAGTACAACTTTGAGATCAAGAGATTCTTTAAAATTTACTTGCTGTTACCAAAATATTGTCGCGATTTTTCAGTTATGCTAAAGTTGACTCTTACGAACTAGATGACGGGGAAGGATTAGATACCAGACGAAACAAGGAGGAGGAAAAAAACCTTTCTAAAATTGAGGTTGCATAGAAATATCTGGTTTCGTCTTAAATTTCTTCACTTTTTTTTTTGCTTATTTCTTCTTTATCTTTGCCCTTTAAAGAAATTTCTAATTCCTCCAACTATCACTTCAACAGCTTTGACACCAAATATGCATCTATACTGCTTTAAAATATATGCAACAGCGTAAATTTTAAGCTACATTGATCTCTGTAACTCATTAGACTTCCATGCTTCCGATGACCTCTCCCTCCGCACAAATATATATATTTTTGTTGTTGTATATATGTATACATGTAGACAAAAAGAGACTGAGAAAGTTAGGTTATATTTATATACTAATAAGGCTTTGAACCAGGATAAATTTGTCACAGCAAGCTCTTTCCTTTCTGCGGTCCTCTCATCATAATTTAAAAATGATTTAAAAAACTTGAAACCTTCGGTTCCAGCCTGCTGCTGTCTAGTGTTCCAAAGCAAAATTGAAATGGCGTCAGCGAAACAGCAGCAACAACGACCTTTCAAAACTTGTCATTAAATTAGTAACCTCAGCTTTCTTTACTTTTTTAACTTTGTTCAGCGGTAGAAAAGAGTGGAGTTTCTGAACGGTATCAGTAATTTGAAATAAATCCTTAAAAAAAAAACGGAACTCAATAAATAAAGATGTAATAGTGCTGGTTTCGTAATTCGAAATCCCATCACTAGTACTAGGCATTTATTTTTTTTTTATTTCAGCATTTTTCATTAACATCACATCGCCATCATCACCGTCACCACCTCTGCCGTGTCTATCACCGATGGCGTGACATCGTTGTCATCATAGACTGATGAAAGACAATCAGTACTCTGGTTGATTACAGAGGAAGAATAACACCTAATTGGTGATGGTAGCTCCAAGAACACCGTCGTTTTGTCCAACTATTTCCGTTAATTAACTCCCTGCTTAGCGACATCTCACCTCGACACTAATTTTGTCAATAAAAATAACTCCTTTTCTTCCATAAAACAGTAACATAATTCACTTTTTGATTGGCAAAATTCCAAAATGATTTGGCACTTTTGCATCAATTGCTCATCGCTGCCAATCATTGTCGTCGTTCGTAGCATTACTGCATCCATCGCGTCCGCCAAACTAGGACTGCAGCAGCAGCAGTAGCGGTCCTTCTCGTCGCCTTTTCTGTTGTCGCCATCATTATCACACCAAATTAAATCACATCAAAGAGCGCTTATATTGCTTGCTGTTGGTACTTCGCTGCAACGAACAGCAATCTATGACTGTCAAATAACTGGGCATACAGATGCTGGTGAACAACGATTGTATTATTACTGTGCTTTTTTCGGCGTTGATAGGTTGGGA